ATTATAACCTTCAACCGAGTCCCCAAACGGTTTTTGGTCCTTTTTTTGTAAATATGGCTGAAAACTCCTATTAAAGGGGGTCGCATCACATCAAAATATTCTACAAAACTATTGGTCATAAAATTCTACTATAGGTTTCGGAATACATCAAAAGTCTAAATCTTACCTAAACGGCAGGATATCAAAAATATTAAAAACATATATCAGGGTTAAGGCCGCATTTTATGTGATATTATGCACAAATCTTCAATCACAAGTCATCGTTTTAAAAGGATACCATTAATACAAAATTATTCCTCATCAAATTTCACTTTGAAAGTGAAGAAAATATTCGTATCACTGTTGCCTATAAAAACGCTAGAATATTTTCTATTTTTTTTTATAAATTTTCCTCAACCTTTTTTCCAATTGATGCATGAAAGACATATAAAATTTCATTTTTGGCAAAAAGTGTCAAAAGATGAAATATTCTATGCAACATTTCACCATAGATCTCAAAATACACTTTATTTGTGGGTTTTATAGTTTTTAAGAAAATTGCATTTGAAATTTATGTATCACAAGTGAAAATTATAAGTCTATAGACTCTATAGTTCATTTCTTAGAGAAAGTGTCACAGGAAGAAACATAAAAACCCATAAAAAACATCATCAATTTTGATTTATAATTAATCTTGAGAAAATGGAAAACTTTCTCCCTAGGAAGAAACCAAATACAAATTTTCAGCAAATTGTTCGAAAAATATAGCCAAAATCTTTACAATAACTAAAATCAGGGGCTATTTTCAAATTATTACTAGAGCATAACTTGGACCCATAATATAATTTTTGTTATTTACCAAAATTTGGTAAAAAAAACTGCCATAATTTGTACATTTTTTTAAAATTTTATTGAATAAAAGCAAAAAATGTCGGAAATAACATTAAATTTTAGAATAAGTTTAGATTTGTTCGAATTGGTCACCTTTGGCACTAATTATGGCCTTCAAACGGCTGAAACCGTCACAGGCTCCCCAAATGTTGCTCTGCTGTATTTTGACCCATTCCCGGCGAAGCGCTTGCTTGAGGTGATCGACACTTTGGTATTTTTAATGCCAACCTTGCTTTCCAAAATACTCCAGACACAATAGTCCAAAGGACTGGTATCCATATATTTTGGTGGCCATTGTGCACTGGAAATGAAGCGAGGAACTTAATTTTGTAACCATTCTTGGGTGGCGCGTGCTGAGTGCGATGGTGCTGAGTCCAGTTGGAATGTCCAAGGACTAATACACCTCCAAGGCTTTAATACACCCTCCAGAATATTTTCGCGAGAATATTTGGCATTTATTCTGATGTCACTGTCGATTAATACGAGCGACCAACGGCTGTTATGGCGGCCCACACCATTACCATAACCGGCGCTTGAGTTCTGGTGGCCAACCAAAGGTGCACATTTTCAGCTGACCTCTTTGGCAAGTAAACACGATCATTTTGTTTGTTTCCAAACTGCTGGACAACGAATATTTTCTCATCGGAGAAAACTAAATTCGGCAGTTCACCACTTTTGGCAAAGGTTATAAATTCTTGCACTTTTTGGAATTTCAAATGGCTTTTGGAATTTCAATGGCTCATTTTTCAATATTTGCCGAATGCCGAATGGAATATTGCGATATGTTATTCATATTTAAATGATGGAGTGCTCTAACGATAGCCACTTGTGATTTTCCAGCCAAATATAAAGAAATCACATTAGCACGCTTGAACTCCATCACGAATAACTTCTTTTCTGAAAATTCTCACCAAAATGCTTTTGTACGCTTTTAAACAATATAATGAGCTGTCAGTGGAATAGTTTTAACAGCTGTCGGACGAGTGGCTTAGAAATGACAGCAGTCTGAAGTTGCTGGCAGTTTTTTCATTTCACCCTGTAGGTATTTTGTTTATTCTGAGATCTATAGCGAAATTTTGTGAAGAATATTTCTGCTTTTGGCACTTTCTACCTAAAAAGAGATATTATGTTACTTCCATGCCTCAACTCAAAAAAGGGCGAGGAAAAAAGTTGATCAAAAAAATTAGAAAATATTTTCGGTTTTTTGGTCACATTGATGTAATTATTTCCTAGATATATAATAGAAATAGAGATTCCTTTTCTTTGGTGACTTGGAGGAAAATTTAATGAAGAATTTCCGTGCCTTTAACGGTATCCTTCAAAAGTGATGCTTTGTGAGAGTATTTTACATAAACTCACATAAAAAAACTTTTCAACCCTAAAATGTGTTTTTAATTTTTGTGAATTCCTGATGTCTTCTGCGACCTACCGTAGAATTTTATGAAAAATATTATCGTATTATATTTTGACTTGCTCCGATCCTGTCTAAGGGAGTTTCTAGCCGTATTTTGAAACCAGTAAGGAAAAGTCAGAAATCGGGCGGGGCCGACTATATGATACCCTACACCACTATGCCTATTTAGTAGACCTTCCGTAAAAAAAGAATTTATTTGAAGCAGATCATACCACCTACCAATTCTGAATCGATTCTCACTAAATTTAATCTTTTATACCAAATAACATTGCTATAGATTGCATGAGAAGGATTATATTAAAAAATATATATCGGAGGCGAGTTCCACAAAATGAAAACGTACGTCCGGAAATTCGTTCCATCTGGGCTGATGTTAGCCATTATTTTAACAATAAACCTGAAATCGGATTAAGGATATATATGGGACCCATATCCAAATCTGAACCGATCTTGATAAAATTTTGCAGAGGTATTTCTATAAGATATGTGGTACCATATATCTTTGTTGTCGAATGGATATTACAAATGTGAGGGACTTGAACACAAAATCGGATAAAACATATATATGGGAGCTATAGCTATATCTGAATCGATTTTTACTAAATTTAATGTACTTGCTTCTAGACTGAATTCGGTTGGATGTGCCAAAATTCAGGTCATTTTTACTTATATTGCCCATTTGGTGCACAATTAACCCGAAATCGGTTGAAGATATATGGGAGCTATATATATATGTGATTCGAATATCACCAATTTCGGGTTCGAAAGGGTTCGTCTTTTGGAAAATTTCATCTCAATCGAATAAAAAATGCGACCTGCATTTTATTCATAAGTATACATGGACAGACAGACGGATGGACTGACATGCCTAAATCGATACAGAATATGATTCTATAAAGATCCTCAAAAGTAACTATGGGTCTATCTCGCTTCCTTCTCCCTGTTACAAACAAATGCACAAGTACATATTACCCTTACCACTATGTGGTGTGGGGTATAAAAAGGACCTAAGAGGTTTTAGGTGACTCGCTTAAGGGTTAAACGTTTGTACCACAATAATCCTCGGAATGTTATCTGTAGTATTGCCGAAGACACTATAGACCTAAAATTTATGGGTTCCTAGGAATCTTATTTCGAAAATTTCAAAAAAATGCGGAAGATGTGTAAACTTGTCCCCTTTATGTGCGTTACTTTGCGATGTAAACTTTCAAAACGCCAATACACATGTCTTCTATTTTTATACCCTCCACCATACTATGGAGGGTATATTCATTTTGTCATTCCGTTTGTAACTCATCAAAATAATGATCTTAGACCCAACACAGTATATATAATCTTTGATCAGCGTAAGACGATTTAGCAATGTCCGTCTGTCTGTCTGTGTGTCTGTCTGTCTGTGTGTCTGTCTGTCTGTCTGTCCGTCTGTTGTAACCACGCTATCTTTCGAACGAATTGAGATAGAAGGCTAAAATTTTGCACACATGTTTATATTTCCAGTAGGCAGGTTAAGTTCGTAAATGGGCCATGTAGGTCCAGGTTTTCATATAGCCCCCATATAAAGGTACCTCCCGATATTCGGTATTTTGATGATTTTAGCGACATTATTCACCGGAATTCTTTCAAATTAGGTATTTTAAGTTTGTAATGGATACTACAGCCTAAGACAGAAAATTGTCTGTGCAGGTCCACGTCTTCGTATAACCCCCATATTACTGTACCTCCCGATATTCGGTATTTTGATGATTTTAGCGACATTATTCACCGGAATTGCTTCAAATTTGATATTTGAAGTTCCAAAAGGATGGTACAGCCTAAGACAGAAAAATTACTGTGCAGTTCCACGTCTTCGTATAGTCTCCATATAACGGTACCTCCCTATATTCGGTATTTTGATGATTTTAGCGACATTATTCACCGGAATTGTTTCAAATTTGGTGTTTGAAGTTCGAAATGGATACTACAGCCTAAGGCACAAAATTTTCTATGCAGGTCCAGGTCTTCGCATAGGCCCCATATATCAGTACATCCCGATATTCGGTATTTGGAGGATTTTAGCGACATTATTCACCGGAATTGTTTCAAATTAGGTATTTGAAGTTCGTCATGGAAGCTACAGCCTGTGACAGAAAATTGTCTATGCTGGTCCAGGTCTTCGTATAGTTTCTATATAACGGTACCTCCCTATGTACGGTATTTTGATGATTTTGGCTACATTATTCACCGTTTATTTCAAGTTTCGAATTTGAATATGGTAATGGCTTGTGACAAACAATGCCTATGTAGGTGCATATTCGGTATTTTTAAAATATTAACAGAATTTTTGCTATCTTTTTCGAAAATTTTCAAATTCGTTCTAAATGGTGGAGGGAATTCAAAGTTTACTTGTTAGCACTACTTTAATAATCTGCTGGATTTTTCCAGGTTTTCACCAAAATTATTCGATGTGAATTCTCTTTCATTTAAATCATTTACTGTGCCCATTAGCCTTTTTACCTACCTGTATCCAATTTTAAGAAAAACCAACAATTTCAATATTTTTTTTTTCAAAACACATTTAATTGTCTAACAAAATCCAAGTTCCACACATATATAGATTTTTTTCAATTACATAGAAAAAATATTACTCATACGCTCGTGAATTACTTAATTAATTCATGTGAATGAACATTCATCTTAGGCGAGATCTTAACTAAATTATTTGTTGTTTTTGTTGTTATAAAAAAAAAACTATTTTACTAATAGAATTATTTGGCTTGTTCTACTTAAATTTGTAACTAAAAAGGTAGATTTATTTGATTTCATTTTCGGTGGTGTTGCCGGGTGAGAAATGATCCCATGTGGATATTTCATTGAAGAGGCGGCCACCGGGACACTCGGTGTCTCGCACCTGACGATGACCCATCAGCTTGAAATCAGGGTGAATGTAGCCCTTGGCCACACCAAAGGCTATCAAATCCTTGGCTGCCTTCAACATTTGGGGTGGGGGTAGTTCAGCTGAAAAGAAGAGAATACAAAAAACATTAGTTCCCGAATTACCAAAGATGGAGATCATACTCACTTCTCCAATCGCCAATGAGACAAATGCCCACACTCTTGTCATTGTATTTGGGCGCATGGGCTCCAACCACATTAAATCCGCGTCCCATATAAATCATACCATCACCACCAACGGCAAAACTATAGCCAATGTCGTTCCATCCATGGGTCAGCTGATGGTAATCCTGCATCACACGCATCGCCTTGCGACAATCCTTATTTGTAAAGCAGGCTTCCGGCTGATATGAATGATGGATGATGACAAATGGTGCCGGTCCTTGAAACGTTTCAATCATTGTAGGGCTGCGGGCACCCCACTCATCACGCGTTACCATTCCCGATTTCATTTGTTGGCTAAAACCTGCACAAAAGACACACAGAGAGAGAGAGAGAGAGAGACAAATTGAAATTAGTATTCAATACCAATGGAGATTATTGCTTGTTATTGTAGTTATTATAGTTGTTGTTGTTGTCGTTTACGCAAAACAAGTGATTTAATGTGTGACAGCATAAAAATAAACGGTACTTTACTTTGGATTTGCAATGATGGACACTATCTCTTAGAGAAGGCGTTTGGGATTTTTTTATTTAAATCGCATTCGATGGTGCAGAAATAGATAGGGACTTTTTATGGGGCGTTCGTTTTTATTGTATTGGGGTGGTTATTTATGACAATAAGGATAAATAGCAATTTAGGCAAGGCTAATAATGGGAATTTAATGAAATTTTCCAAAAATATTTCGGATAGATTATTAAGTCTATAAAATGGGGATTTTAAATACGTTTTTGAAGGACAAAACAAATTGTAAAATTTGTATTCCTTGAATTAATTTTAAAACATGGACTTTTAAAGAATATTTTTAGAAATATAAAATGCAACTCTAAATCATTGAAAATTTTCCAGAATATAAAAGTTTTTTGAAGAATTATTCAGACTTGGTTTTTTTAAATACTTCTAAAGGACCAAAAAGTAATTTATAAATGTTATAAAAATGTAAAGGACTAAAATTTGATTTATAGGACTACAACGAGGATTTTTAAAAAATATTTTTAAGGGACTAAAACGTAAATTAAAAAAAAAAAACAAGTAAAAAAAAAAACATCAAGTTCGACCGGACCGTTTAATAGCCTCCATCTAAGGTTAAAGGAAACATTAGAACCCAGTATGAATCTAAAATACCAATTTTTAGATATATTCGTGGGAAAATGTGGCAAAAATCATCAAAATACCGAATATCGGGAGGTACCGTTATATGGAAGCTATTTTTGCTGATCCCACTCCATACGGCTATAGAGGGTATGTATCATTTGATGCGGCCAAAACTTGCCTTATCGAAATAACGGTTTTAGACCCTAGGTCTCTTTGGACCAAATTCGTTTCAGTACATCGTAATATTATTATTAAACTTAGATCGAGTTCGGAGATGGGCAATATCGGTCCACTCCTTCTGGTACCTCCACCACAAAAGTTCGAAATTAAAAAAAAAAAAAAAAAAAAATACTGCACATAAAGAGAAAGGCTAATCCGATTTTGCTCCCACTTTGCAAATCCTAATATTTGCATCAGTTCTAGTTCAGGTGCGAAAACTGACAATATCGGTCCACTCCATTTGTACCTCCCCCAAAAAGGGTCAAAATGATGAATAATTATAAATCTTATAAAATGTGATGTAAGAGTCCAATAACCCAGAGCACAATATTTTTGAAGATGGAATATATCGTTCCACTCCTTCTGGTACATCCGCCACAAAGGTTCAACATTTTGAATATTCATGAAGCTTTTAAAACACAAAATTAACATCCGATTCCATTAAGACTATATATATCTCAAAATGTTATCATCAACGCAAGATCTGTTTTAAAGATGGCAGAGATTCGACCATTCCTTCTAGTACCTCCTACAAAGGGTCACTTTTTTGAATAACCACAACGATCATAAAATCCGAAATAAGCATCCAGTTGTCTTCAAATTACACACATCGCAATATTTTTTAACCCAAGGTCTGGTGCGACTATGGGATTTATGGGCCCACTCCTTCTGGTACCTCCCCCACAAAGGGTCAAAATAAAACGCGAAATTAATATCCGATTCCATGCAGACTTGGAACCTCTCAACATTTTCATCAACATAAGATATGTTATAAAAATGGTAGAGATCGGACCATTTCTTCTGGTACCTCCCCCACAATTTTGAAATATTTCAATATTTTGAAAAACAAAACGCTCAAAGAAAGCAAGAAAGAGCATATATTTCTCCTCAAATTTCACACAACGCATGATCTGCTGTGAAGATGATATATACCAGCCGCCCACAAAGGGTACCTCACCCACAAAGGGTCACAATTTCCAATACTTTCCAATAATAATCTGTCATAACTTGCGAAACAAGTCGACGATTCTTTACAACTTGCTATATCTAAATATTTCTCTTAATCAGAAATCAGATATTTTTATCGGATTTTATGATTTCCCATAAAATTGGATAAAAATGTTTGATTTCCTTCAAATTTTGCACATACCAATATTTTTATCTGTATTAGATGAAGTATGAAAATGGAACACTTCGGTCCGATATATCTGTTAGTTTATGTGGCGTTTCCACTACACTTGATTCGCTCTCTATTCTTTGTTCGACCCTTAACTATGAAAAAACTACTTAATTCTTCACACAAAATTTCCAGAGCGAACACTCATATTTGTACATTGTTCAAATCAAATCACTCTCCGAACAACGAAAAATATGTCCCATCCCTAACAAATGAGAGCATTTATCGAAAAAATAAATTATGACATTTAAAAATTAAAACTAGAAAAATTTAATGAAATTTTAAAAATTTTTGGGAAGACTGAAAATTATGAATGAAAACTACAATATTGAATGGCGTATGTATATTCAAACGAAAGTATGTTTTGTTTTCTCTTTCATTCGAGGTACGCATTTTGTCCACGATTTGAAATTTCCACAGAAAACTGCAAACAAAAGAGCAATATTTTCAAAATGTTTGTATCGGCAGAAAAAAAATTTTGACAAGTGTCTCTCCAGCAGAATATAAAATTAAAAAAATACAAAAATATGTTCAAAATGTCAATATTTTCACAAAAACTTGAAAACTTGAATGAAAATTGTAAAATTAATGAAAATTTGGAAGAAAAACAATAATTTCTTCTATTCATATTAGTGAAAATTTCATGTTTTTTTGTGTAAATTCCCATTCAAATCAACAAACAAAATTTGTGAAAAAAGGAATTATTTTACTATGAATTACGAATCGTGCCGTATGAACGGGTTAATTCGTGTACCTAATTCTGAGAGCGAACAACGTGATTGAAAGTGTAATGAGAACATAGCATTACGCATATTTCCACATTTTCCAAAAAAAATTCACAAATCTTATATAAAGTACAAGATGTAGTCTATATTGTCCAAATCTGGTACGTTGTAATATTTATATCAGTCTTAGGTAAGATACGAATTGGTCAATATTGGCCAACTGCTTCGGAACCTTACCAACTATAACTACATAACTCTGTCGAAAAACCCGACTGATACTATTTTACTTGTTCAGTTGTTTATTAGGTTTAAGACTTTAACGTCTGAAGAAGTTTAAATTACGCTTTTGGGCTGGAAGAGGTTTTTTTTTTTTATTTTGAGATATTAGAGGAAAAAATATTTTTCTTTTTTGGAAGTCTCTGTTATAAGCTTTACAAACATAACATAATTTTCGGAAGTACACAATTTTTTTTAATGTTCTCTCTTTTTCAAAATGTTAGGATATTGTGTTGCTATATTAACCTTTGAATAAATCAATTGAATGCAGATTTACTAGTTTCAAAATTGCTTCTTGAGTCGAAAATATCCCCCAAAAATAATGCAGACTCACCAAGAACAATGTTCAATTAACTGTTAGCACTACCTTTAAAAATCGATTAAGTCTCTGTTTTACCACCAACAAATACCAACTAAATTTGATTTTTTACCAAAAACAGGTAACGAAAAATAAATTATTAAGCCAGTGAATTATCAAATTCATCGTAAGGTAGTCGTGGCCATGGTGGCTATGATGATGATGGTGGGTGTGGCCTACCAAAATTAAAAACTTCATTCATAAAATCGATTGGCCGAAATTATTTTAGCGCTAAAATATTCATGACATACCAACATAACCGGTCAATCGCGCTGGTCTGGTGTCTGCTACGAAATATGTTAAGTCATTCTTCTGGTCTGCTGTTTGTCATTCGGCCTTTGTTGTTAGACGTAGTCGTAAATTAATGACCAAAAAAAGATAACAAAAACTAACGCCTTTTGTTGTCTGTCTACAATTTTGCAAATATTTATCGGTTCTTCGAAATTTACATTCACATCTATTTTTAGGCCTACATGTCTGTTCCGTATTTTTTTTTTTTTTTTTGGGGGTTTTTGAAATATTGTCTCACCTAGAAATCGTAACAAAAAAAAAACTGCTATTTCCTACACATCTGCTAATTAGATTGGAGTCTAAAAATAAACACGAGATTTGTCAACGTTGAGCGAATATTCCATAAAAAGTTATTTGGTTTCAGATTTGATTATTTGTTTAAGTCGATGACAAATAGACAGACAACTATTTTTTTATATTGTCCCATGACATATGCTAAAATAAGAGGGCTCGATTTGATGATACATAAGATGACAAGATTTTAATTAATTTTATTTATTTCCTATATTTTGCACAACTTCGACGGAATCAGGAATCGTTTCCTTTTTTTTTCGAAGAGAAGTCGTTTTAATGAAATACCTTTAGGGCACTTCTTAGAGAGATTACCTCTTGAGGTCTAGTATGCAAAGAAGTCGTCTTAAATTCTAATATGCAGAGAAGACCTCTGTTAGTCCTTTGTGATAAGAAGTTCTTCTCTAGAATTCTAGACGATTTCTAGGCCTTTTTTTAATTATAGCCCTTCTAAGGTCCTCTAAACCTCTACTTCTTGAGAAGAAGACCTCTGTGAGGTTGTCCAAATAAGGAAAAGTCACCATTGAACAAGTTAAAAAGTATCAGTCGGGTTTGCCGACAGATGTATACCCTCAGCTACTCTTCGATTATTTAAATATATTTTGATTTCTGCTAAGATTAGTCAAATTGTTGACCCTCTTTGGAGTAGGTTCCAAAGGAATGACCTAATATTGCACATTTCGTAGCGGACCTAAATAAATACGATATAAATGTTGCGAAGTGCCAGGTGTGACGTGCGACCTCCTTCACTTTATATGAAATATGTGATAATTACAAATGTTAAAATGTTCATGAGGTACCAGGTATAGTGAACCGAAGTATTCCATTTTCGTACTTCATCTAATACAGATACAAATACAGGGTGAGATAAAGA